GCTTTGACTTTCTCATTGTTTATTACTTAAGAAACAAAAGAATTTTTTATTTTTATCTACATAATATAATTCGAATGGGGCTTAATGCACAATGACTCTTTCCCTTGAATTTTAGAAAGATTTTCTGAAAAATAAACTATGGCATACATACAGAAAGCAAAATTAGTCCTTATAACAATGTTTCTTTGGAACTTCTTGTGTGTCTGTGTTTTTCACTGCTTTATGCTGTCCCTTGTTTTTCTTTCAAGGAATAATGAGCAACCTAGCTAAATAAAAAGAGTTATATGAATGCATCTTTCTGCACAGAAACACACCTATGACATCAAATCACAAAGGATAAGGACAACAAAGTGTTACAACTGCACAGAAACTGGAACAAATGTAGACTTTTCCAGAATATTCAGTGAATGAATTCCTTGAACACAATGTCTTTAAGTACTACTACTCTTTAAATATTGTAACATTACTCATAATGTCAATTAAACAAATTGGTCATTATGAAACATAGGTTTATTTGGCATGTTAGTCTTGCTTAACTATTGACTATGATATTACAGTTTTTAATATGAAACCCAGAAATGTACTAAGAAGAATAATTCTGAAATGAGATTACAATCAGTAAATGCATTTTTATCTTAGCATAAATACAAGTAATACACATTTGTACTTTTGATTATTTGACAAAAATCTAAGGTATACCAAATTAGATACTGAGCATACTTACAATATTTTCCAATAATTAAGATGTAGAAGAAGACAGGACCGGATGTCATTTCCTTCTCTCTGAGCAACTGATTAATGACAGTGAATAACATTTGATCTTGGTTTCTGAGTTGCATACAGCTCACGGTGGTTGTGTGCTATTTCTGTCTGCAATCTTAGCAGCTACAAAGCAGTCCTCCCTCCTTCCTCTCTCATTTCCTTTCTCTCTCTCTTCCCATTCCCTCTTTTTTCTTTTTTCCTTTCTCTCTCTCAGGCTCTCTCCTCCCCGCCCTCCTCTGAAAATCTTAATATCTTTCTTCACACACACACACACACACACACACAGACAAAGCTGAGCAGGGAGGAAAAGTTTCAGACAGAGAACACACGGGCTCTTCTTGTTCATTCTAAACCTTTCGTTTCTATGTCCTACGAGTCTACAAATGAGGGTGTGTATGAGCACTGACAAGTCTGTAAACTGATCAAACTACTAGAAAGAAATTGAGCTACAGATACATCACAAACAAAATATATATATATATATTTCCCATGAAATAGGACGAGGAAAAGAGCAGAACTACATAGGGCAAAATGTCTTTGTGGAATTAACTATAAGGCAGGAATTAAAGTGTGACTACAGCAATCTTTTAAAATCTGAGTTTGGAATTTGAACAAGAGGATATTGTTCAAAGAAAAACACAAAGGAGTAAAAAAGGTAAAATTCTTTTGAACTCATGAATTTTGCTGCAGGGGAGACTGTGACATGTCATTGGCTGTGGAGTAAAGCTGTCCTGGGTTTGACTCGCAGGTCCCCTGAGACTTTAGAGTTGTGTGAGTGCTTACTTTTGGCTGTGCCTTGGCTTCCCAGAGGAAAATATCTGTGCAGCAAGGTAGCAGTGATGGTCAGCACAGGGTGTGCTGAATGTCTGGTGTAGGTCCTAGGGCAGCATGGGCGATTACTGAATGGCAGCCACACATATGATGACGATTTTTATTATTTGACCAAGAGGGGGAAATAAAGAATGAAAATGCAGAGAACATTCATATGGAATTCTCTTTTAACCAGGCTGTGTCATTCTTATTTTGGGACTTGATGATGTATTTCTTAGAACAAATAGGTAGCCCATTGATGTGAGGAATTGCTGAAGTTAATGACCCCTACTCGTAGAGATTCTGCAAGTAGAATCTGTTCAAATTACATATGTATATATCATTGACTTCGATATAAGAATCCTACTTCTAAATAGTGGCAGAAGATTATATTAACACTGCTTCCCCCAACACCCCCCTTAAATATAATTAACTCCATGAAAGGAGAAGTTCAGTACAGACATCTTCACAAGTCCTTATCCACCTGACAATAGATTATTTAACGAAGACACTATTCTTTTGGGAGAAATGTTTATGGCCAACTGAATTTAGTCCCATGAAATGTTCAATATTTTTAATAATACTTGAAATGTTTTAAGAATACTGCATAGGTGGCTAATGGTTGGTTTATTTGTTTGTTTTTTAGCAATAGTATTTCCTGGAAGGGTGCTTTGGACTTGTCAAGGGCAGTATCAGAAGGAGGCCCATAGGAAGCTTCTCAACAGTAGTGTTAAAGAACTTGCTCTGGGAGTTGTTCCAGTATAAAGTGAGCTGTTGATACAGAGGCTTTCATTGCAGCAGGAACTATTTGTACTTTGGGCTGGAGAATGTTTTATCACGAGGAGCTATTCTCTGCATTGTGGAATGCTAAGCAGCCTGACATCTACACACTGGGTGCCAGTAGTGCCTCCAGTTGTGACAGTGAAAGGTGCCTCCAGACATTGGCAAATGTCCCTTGGAGAGCAAAATTGCTCCAGTGGTTGAGAACCACTGCATAGTAGCAAAAGATATCACCGAATAATGTTTAGGTGTTGATTTTTTTAAACAAGATTACTAATTCTATTTCAAGGATTCTTCTTACCTAAAATTTGAATTAAAATATGTTTTCTCATTCTCTTGTTCTGCAGTTTGAAGACATATATTAAAGAGTTTTAACAGCAAACAGATGGTTTGTGTTCCTAGCCTTCTCTTCCTGCCCACATTGTTCAATTATAACCTCACTCCATGGGCCTGATAGAATCTCTGATGTCAGCGCCTCCACTCAGCTGAGCATGTCAGGGTTTTCTACCTTAGATTTGGCGCTGACACAGGCTATTACCTCTATTAAGAGGTTAACACCCTTTCTTATCTTTAAACCTCTTCTTAAAACCTTATTGAGGCTCTCTGAAAAATAGAAAAACATTCTATCTGAAAATTACTTCTCATACCAACCTGGTGAGTCAAACCAGACAAGCATTATTAACCTACCTACACTATATAGA